CATGGACTAGCGATCGAGCAAAAGCTGTTAAGGTATGTAAGGTTATATTTTGGCTTATATGTAAACTATAATGAAAACCGTGAATGCTTTCAATATTTATGGTAGATATATATATAGTGATTTTATTTTCATCTACATTGTTAATGTAGGAAAAATATGATGAACTTTTAATGAGCAGTGCTAGTGGTAGTGATGATTGTCCTGAGTCCGGGCCATTAGTTGATAATATGACATTATGGATGGAGGCAACGGGTGGGGTGAAAAAAGGGAAAATATTTGGGATGGGATCGTTGTCAAGGATGTACATGCCGAATAATCCTGGAAATTCATCATCCACTGCGACTGGTCGAAGGAAGTCACAACAAGACGAGCAATTGACCCAAGAAGTGCATTGTCTGAATAATTTACTTGTTCAGAAGGACGAACAAATAAATAACTTGGAACAACAAATGAGACTCGTTATGCGACACCTTAACCTCAATCGCTATGACGATCCTCCTGTACCTCCAGTCAATCCAATAGGTGATGGGCACAATGATGACCAACACATTGATGCCGAGAATGCTGATGATGATGATGATTTTCTCCGGACTTTCTAGTTAAAATTCTCAAAATCGGGGGTAAGCTTGCTTCATAATCTTGGTTTTTCATAATTTCACTCATATTCATATGTAAGAACATTTATGTTCGTCCTGAAACGTATTTTTGTTAACCCTTTTGTTACTTTACACCTAGTTCCACATCCATGCATAAACACTTCTTTTATATTCTGGACTGGTTTATGTATCGACATTTCCTCAGGTCTCGACAAAAGTGACTACTTTTGGTATCCTGCCATCGTACCAAAGCTGCGTCTTCTTGTGTATGGTTTTTCTGCGTCTTCTATGGTTATCCCGTCTCTTAGTTCATGTTTTGAATGTATTGTAAGATTGGATATCAAATAGCATCATGTCAGACTCTGCAACTTTCCTTCAGTTATTTGTTTCAATTATATGTCATTATGGCTGGTTTGTCAGAATCTATGGTTTGTTCGTTTTTCTGTTTCAATTATATGTCATTGTCTACTTTGTTTGATATGGACAAGAATTTATGGACGAAATGATGTAAAAATAGCGACGAATATTTTAAGCCGAATTTTGCGATCATTACAGTTCGTTGCTAATTTGCGACGAATACATTTTGCAACGAATTTTGCGACGAAATTTGCAACGAAATTTGTGACGAAATTAGCGACAAAATTTGCGACGAAATTTGCAACGAATTTTGCGACGGTTCGTCGCAAATTTGCGACGAAATATTTGCGACGGATTGTATTCGTGGCTAATTTGCGACTAATTTTGCGACGAATTTTGCGACGAATTTTGCAACGAAATTTTGCGACGAATCTGCGACGAATTTGCGACGAAATTTTGCGACGAAATTTGCGACGAAATTGCGACGAATTTTGCGACGAAATTTGCGACGAATTTTGCGACGAAATTTGCGACGAAATTGCGACGAATTTTACGACGGATAGCATTCGTCGCAAATTTGCGACGGATTGTATTTGTGGCTAATTTGTGACTAATTTTGCAACGAATTTATTTTCGTCGCAATTTTGCGACGAACTTTTAAATTTTCCGTCGCAAAATTTTGCGACGACCTAGGCTGCGCATGGTAACCATTCTGTTTCTCTATTTCTGTTCCAGAAATAAGTTTGGAACAGAAATCCGTTTGGTAACACAATTTTAATTTCTATTTCTGGAACAAATTTTTGTTCCAGAAATAGATTTGAAAGAGAAATCAGAAGCTAAAATTTTTAGGCTGCGAATGATAACCATTCTGTTTCAGAAATCAATTTCTGGCCAGAAATTGATTTTTCTATTTCTGTTTCTGGAGGAGTTTCTAAGCTAAAAAACATGTTTGATAACGACACAAAATTTCTATTTCAGAAACAGAAATTTGTTTGATAATGGCACAAAATTTCTCCTTCTCATGTGGCGGGCGGCGGACAATCGCTTCATTTCTTTTAGAAATAGAATAAAAAAATTAGAAAATCTGAAAATTCCTAAAAATCTGAAAAAAAATTCAAAAAATCCATAAAATTTTCCAGAAAATAAAAAAAGTCAGATTTCGGAATATAGGAAATTTGTTCATTTTTTAAAAATCAAAAATTTCAAAACTTCATAGAATGGGTTAGAATACCTGTGGCCACCCACTTTGAGTGAAATTTAAATTTTTTGAGGTGCCCCAAAAAAATCAAAAAATAAAAAATTTCAAAACTTCACAGAATGGCTTAGAATACCTGTGGCCACCCACTTTGAGTGAAATTTAAATTTTTTTTGGCACCTAAAAAATTTAAATTTCACTTAAAATGGGTGGCCACATGTATTCTAAGTCATTCTCTGAAGTTTTGAATTTTTTGGTTTTTTTTTGGCACCTCAAAAATTTAAATTTTACACAAAGTGGTGGCCACAGTATTCTAAGCCATTCCGTGAAGTTTTGAAATTTTTAATTTTTAAATTTTTTAGCACCTCAAAATTTAAATTTCACTAAAGTGGGTGGCCACAGATATTCTAAGTCATTCTCATGAAGTTTTGAAATTTTTTATTTTTGGATTTTTTTGGGCACCTCAAAAAATTTAAATTTCACACAAAGTGGGTGGCCACATATATTCTAAGCTATTCTGTAAAGTTTTGATTTTTTTAATTTTTTTTTGGCACCTCAAAATATTTAAATTTCACTCAAAGTGATTGGCCACAAATATTATAAGCCATTCTGTGAAGTTTTGAAATTTTTTTATTTTTTTTGGAGAAAATGAACAAATTTCCTATTTTCCTGAAATCTGACTTTTTTTTTAATTTTCTAGAAATTTTTATGAATTTTTCTGGAATTTTTCAATTTTTAAGGATTTTTGGAATTTTTTTGGCGGCAAGCAAATGGCGGAGGCGGGGGCGGTGATGGTGGCGGGAGGTGGCCGGTCGGCAACGACGATGGTGGGAGGCACGTGGCAATAGTGAGCGACGACAGGGTGGCCAAGAAATGGCGAGAAACGAGCGATGAGAAAAATTTATATTTCTAATTTTTGTTCCAGAAATAGAGAAGCTAAGGCTACGCATGGTAACCATTCTGTTTCTCTATTTCTGTTCCAGAAATAGGTTTGGAACAGAAATCCGTTTGGTAACACAATTTTAATTTCTATTTCTGGAACAAATTTTTGTTCCAGAAATAGATTTGAAAGAGAAATCAGAAGCTAAAATTTTTAGCTTCTCTATTTATGGAACAAAAATGAGAAATATAAATTTTTCTCATCGCTCGTCCTCGCTACTAGCCGGCCACCCCCGTCGTCGCTCACTATTGCCACCGGCTGCCTCCCACCACCACCGGCTGCCGACCACCGGCCACCTCCCGCCACCATCAGCCGCCTCCCGCCGCCGGCTGTACCCCAAAAAAAAAATTCCAAAAAATCCTTAAAAATTGAAAAATTCCAGAAAAATTCATAAAAATTTCTAGAAAATTTAAAAAAAAGTCAGATTTCAGGAAAATAGGAAATTTGTTCATTTTCTCCAAAAAAAAATAAAAAAATTTCAAAACTTCACAGAATGGCTTATAATACTTGTGGCCAATCACTTTGAGTGAAATTTAAATTTTTTGAGGTGCCAAAAAAATATTAAAAAAATCAAAAATTTCAAAACTTTACAGAATAGCTTAGAATATATGTGGCCACCCACTTTGTGTGAAATTTAAATTTTTTGAGGTGCCCAAAAAAAATCCAAAAATAAAAAATTTCAAAACTTCACAGAATGACTTAGAATATCTGTGGCCACCCACTTTGAGTGAAATTTAAATTTTGAGGTGCCCAAAAAAATTTAAAAATTAAAAATTTCAAAACTTCACAGAATGGCTTAGAATACCTGTGGCCACCCACTTTGCGTAAAATTTAAATTTTTTGAGGTGCCAAAAAAAAAACCAAAAAATTCAAAACTTCAGAGAATGACTTAGAATACATGTGGCCACCAATTTTAAGTGAAATTTAAATTTTTTAGGTACCAAAAAAAAATTTAAATTTCACTCAAAGTGGGTGGCCACAGGTATTCTAAGCCATTCTGCGAAGTTTTGAAATTTTTTATTTTTTGATTTTTTTTGGGCACCTCAAAAAATTTAAATTTCACTCAAAGTGGGTGGCCACAGGTATTCTAAGCCATTCTATAAAGTTTTGAAATTTTTGATTTTTTTTTTTGAAAAAATGAACAAATTTCCTATATTCCCGAAATCTGACTTTTTTTTATTTTCTGGAAAATTTTATGGATTTTTTGAATTTTTTTTCAGATTTTTAGGAATTTTCCAGATTTTCTAATTTTTTTATTCTATTTCTAAAAGAAATGAAGCGATTGTCCGCCGCCCGCCACATGAGAAGGAGAAATTTTGTGCCATTATCAAACAAATTTCTGTTTCTGAAATAGAAATTTTGTGTCGTTATCAAACATGTTTTTTAGCTTAGAAACTCCTCCAAAAACAGAAATAGAGAAATCAATTTCTGGCCAGAAATTGATTTCTGAAACAGAATGGTTATCATTCGCAGCCCTAGTAGCGACGGAATTTTTTCCGTCGCAAAATTCGTCGTAAATTCGATTTGCGACGGATTTTTGCAAATTTTCCGTCGCAAATTTCATCGCTAATCCGGTGTTTTTTTGTAGTGGGACAAGCTCATCAAGCCTTTAATGGGTTTGGTGGGTGGACTGGTCAGCGACGGTTGAACGTTGCGGGGGAAATGGGAGTGTGATTGTGGCGCCAGGGCTTTTCTGGCGTTTAAAATAAGATCAATGTCAAATGCCGATGGAAAAATGAACTCGTGAATAACTATCAAACACGCTCCCCCGGCAAAAGGATGACATGCATGGCCGATGCGATTATATAAATTTAGCCTCACAGATCCACCCCTTGATTTTTTAGTTGGAATAATTACTCATCAAAGCATTCCATCAGCATAAGGTACAGTTGATCTCAACATAACATGGCAGGATTGTGGAGAGTGTTGGAGAGGAAGTGGAAGAGTTGAAGGAAGGAGATGTGGTTATTCCCGCATATATCGGAGAATGCAGAGAGTGTGAGAACTGCAACTCTGAGAGGACAAACTTGTGCCTCCGGTATCCGCTCTCTTTGAATGGCATGTTGCCGGATGGCACATCGAGAATGTCTATCCGAGGCCAGACCCTGTACCACCTCCTCTCTTGCTCCACCTGGTCCGAGTACACGGTCTCCGACGCCAATTATGTTGTGAAGGTCGATCCTGGTGTAGCTCTCCCGCATGCCAGCTTCTTGTCGTGCGGATTCTCCACTGGGTTTGGGGCCGCTTGGATGGACTCTAAGGTAGAGAGTGGCTCCTCCGTGGCTGTGATCGGCCTTGGTGCTGTTGGACTCGGTGTATGTGGTTGGTCGTTTGCGTTACTAGCTTACATGTGTACTGTATAAATGCTGTTTTGAGAGGATTAATTAGAAAGATAGAGAGATAAAGCACAGCAATAGTTCATTTGATTTAATCATGAGCAGGCCATAGGAGGAGCAAGAGCGCAAGGGGCGACTACCATAATCGGCGTGGACGAAAATGGGATGAAAAGGGACAAGGGAGAAGCCTTTGGAATGACTCATTTCATAAATCCAGGTGATCACAAGTCTTCCGACAGTGCGGATTTGAAATCCATCTCCGAAATGGTGAAAGAATTGACGGGCGGAGTCGGCGTGGACTACTGCTTTGAGTGCACTGGAGTACCTGGCTTGATCAACCAGGCCCTAGAAGCCACAAAAGTGGTGATGAATCCATATCATCGCATTATCTACAAAATCACAATGCGCACGCGCACTCGCACACAACTGAACTTCTTCTCGCAAGTCTCTAACTGTATATTTGATGTAATCAGGGGAAAGGCAAAGCAGTAGTAGTGGGTGCAGGGCTGAAACCTTTGGTGCAAATTAATCTCCTGTACCTGTTGATGGGCAGAACATTGAAGGGAACCACTTTTGGTGGCCTCAAAAGCAAGACCCACCTCCCCCTCCTCCTCCACAAATCCAAAAACAAGGTTCTGATCAAGCTCTTTCACGCCTCACCAGTTCAGACTTTACGCGCACAACCACTGAACTTTGCTTGCTCTGGTTCCGCAGGAGATCCAACTTGATGAACTGCTGACGCATGAGATGAAATGGGAAGACGTACCAAGAGCTCATGAGATACTGAAACGATCGGATTGCGTCAAGATTGTGATCAAGATTTAGCACCCTATTTGCCTATGGCCTATTGCCTCCTGTCACGACCTCCCCGCATCCCTAATTTTCTATGCAATAATTTTAATTGGGTAATTAAAATTTAGGTGTCACCACCTCCTCCCCTTTCTTTCTTGAATTTGTCTAGAACTATATTGACACCATGCTTTGTTTACTGTTGCACCCGCTCGAGTGCCATCTATAGTCGCTCGTGCAAAATTCCAATAATATAGCATCAATATCAGTGGAACCAACAGACAATGACATCTAGTGCATTGCTTGCACCCGCTCGAGTGCCATCTAGTTCATTGCTTGTCTTCGGTTCGGGTTCTATTCAGATCGGGCCTCTGGTCCGGTCGCAAGACCCGACCCGACCCATTGACATCACTGCTCCTCACTATGGGGTTTAACGTCCCTTAGTTTCCCTCGAGACTTGTTAAATGACAGTACAGAAAAATTTTGAGCAAGTTCACGGGACCCTAGTTTTAAAAGAGGAGAAACTCTATCCACAACTCCCTTCCCTACCCGGTACCCCCAACCTTTTAAGGATGCTGCATCCTGAAATATGATGTTCAGCCAACTCATCTTTCCATTTGCTGGTTGCTGCAACTTGCATTGGCTTCGCTTAGTCGGCCTCCAGAAGTTTTTCGAACTTCTACCCATCCTTTGAAATGTGCATTTTTCATTTGGGAACTTTCATCCAAAAGTATCCGGGGAAAGAACAGCATTGGTGCCAAAAGTTGTGTACGGAGCTCACTTTAGTGCCAAAAGTTTCATTTGGATCATTTAAGTGCCAAAAATTTTGAAAAACGATCATTTAAGTGCCACTTCGCCGGAAATCCGACGTGGCATTTTTTTATTAATTTCTCAAGCTGATGTGGCTCGCCGGAGGCTGATGTGGCTCGCCGGGGGCTGATGTGGCATTTCTTTTCTTTTTTTTTTCCTTTTCTTTCTTTTTTCCTTTCTTTTCTTTTTTTTCTTTTCTTTCTTCTTATTTCCGAAGGCCGGCATCCGGCCACCAGCCATGGCCAGCCTCACCGGGCGTCGCCTTCCTTCGAGTGAGGGCCGGCGAGGCCGCCGTCGCCTCGGCGAGGGCCGGCCTCGCCGGATCTGGCGTGGCGAGCCCTCTAGCGAGGCAAGCCCTCGCCGAGGCCACGGCGTGTCACGCCTCGTACCCCACGAAGTGCGAGCATCCCACCTTTGGTCATTTGACTGCGACGTCCCAGGAAGCATCGCCGACCCACACCCATACAGAAATCAAACACAAGCGGATGCATAAAATAAACAAACCCAGACAACTACGATATGAGCCAAGGATAGCCATTTATCAACACCATCATAGAAAATAATTACACATTTATATTACTATTAAAAACCCTTTGTACAATATTTACAAGTACAAACAAAAAGGCACACAAGATCAGTAGCCACTTGGTCAAAAATGGATAAGTGGCTAGGGAGGTCAGGCTAAAACTCAGGGGGAGGGCTACAGTCCAAAAAGTAACGGCCCCCACTACTAACTAAGGACATTGGGTGACCCTAAGGTTCTCAATCAGGATCGGATGACTCGGAAGAATTCTCTGACAACTCCTCGGAGGCGTCCTCACTAGACTCTGACTCCTCCGAATCCATCGCCTGGGCTCGCTCATCCTCGAAGTCCGGCTCTAACTCCGGGTCAAGGTAAAGCTCGAACCCCTCCTCATCTGATCCCAGCTCTGCCACTTCTCCGTCCTCCTTTACGTCCTGCTCCATGGCCTCGGGTTCATCCTCCTCCTCATCCATCAGCTCGGGGTCCTCCGCTAGTACATCAGGCTCGTCATTCACCTCCTCCTCTTGCATCATCCACTCGGGTGTAACCTCAGGGTCGATCACCTCACCATCAGTTATAATTGGCTGCATCAACCCAACATCATCGACTGGGATATCAAAGGTCCTGAGGGGTTCTCCCACATTTCCATCGGCATCCCGATGGCACCATGCCACGTACTCCTGCTTCTGGTAAAAATACTCGCCTATCTCCACATATACTACTGATCGATACCTCACGAAAGCCTCCCCATTACCTGAGGGGTAGGTAGTGGTATACTGCCGAATATGTACAGGGATCCCAAAAAGAGTCGGTGGTCTCTCCATCCTCACGGTTGGGGGTCTGAAAAGTTTCGGTTTACACAACCGTGAGACGAATCTCAATGAGTTCAACCCCTAAACCTAGGCTAGGCTAGCATGCAATCTCTTGACCGGAAACAAATATTTAAATCACAATACAACAATAATCAAACCATTCTATGACCCTGCAGGTTAGACAGATTAACATATAATAGTCACGGCACATACGTGGTACACATTATCACACGTACGCCAATCACATGCTCATGCACCGAATCTCACACACTCGCATGCCAGTCCATGCATGTTGATGCATGCAAATGTCGTTGACAGGTCACGTGCATTTCCCGGCCCACTGGCCCACACTGGCACACTGGCAATCGCCCAATTTATTATTTATTACGACTCGAGTCAACAATATTCACGGCCCGGTGCGTCTAGCCTGCTTCAAAGTGCATAAGGCGCAGCAACCGATCTGGCCTAGTGTCTCTAGCCTGCTTCAAAGTGCATGAGGCGCAACACTGATCTCCTTATGAACCAGAGCCTACTTCAAAGTGCATGAGGATGGTCGTCTTCCGGACGTACCGGGCATCGTTCTGCTTCAAAGTGCATGAGGACAGTATCGACCCGAAGGTCACGACCCGAAAGCCCTTAGGTGATCACACAACCCATTATTATCTAAACCCCGCGTAAAACGCTTCAGGGTATTTTAGGTAATCACATGTTCATGACAGGCACGCAGTCTCACACAATTTCATCACAAGCCTCATTCTCGGCATTCATAATACGTGCCATGAAATGCAACATGAGCATCCACATAACATAGGCACAGGCACACAGTTCAATCAAAGTCATTCCACAGTGCCTAATTCACAATCCACGTGCTTACTTGGCCTATTAATACCGTGCGGCCCAATTCCAAATACGCAATTCAAGCCATCAATTGGCCAATCACACTCCGCACGATTCAGCCACACAAGCACGCAACATGGCATTTCACAATTAAACACAATTGATCACCAATCAATCAACAGCCAATCATTATGGGTAATCCCGGCCATTCAGCTAATAACTCTTGCTGTCCAATATAATCCGGTACATTCCTCGAAAATATGGACAGCCGCTATTTTCTCAATCCGAGCCCAATAATTATCTATAATAATCCCACTAAATTCCTTGGATTTTATTTCCACCAATCAGTCCTCAATCCAGTCCTAATTATACACCGATAATACCTAAACCAGTCCAGAAAAATGCACTATCAGTCCTAATCCAGGTTTAGGAATTTTACTCACTTAATCCAAGGTCACGACGACGGGAAACGGCAGCCGATCACTGGTGAACAGTGAAACCGGCGGCGGAATTCCCGGCGACGGCGTACGGACGGCGTGAACAGTGACCGTACGGACGTAGTGAACAATACCGACCGTACGGACACTGTACGGACAGGTACGGTCGGGGCGTCGTACGGTGTGGCTGGACGGCTGGGTGGCGACGGAACGGCGATCCGAGCTCCGGCGCGGCGGCGGCGAGGCTCCGACGCGGCGGCGGTGCTAACCCGGTAGAGAAAAAGAGAGAAAAAGAGAGGGAAAGAGAGAGAGAAAGGGGTCGGACGGAGGCGAGGCTCAGGCTGGGGGCTGTGGTGGTCGACAGCGGAGCACGGCGGCCGGCGGCTTGCTCCGGCAAGGCCAAACAAGAGAGAAAATGAGAGAAAAAAGGGAAGGAGGGGCTGTTCTGGGGTGGTTCAGCCGAATGAGAGGGAGAGCAGAGAGAAACTGATCTGATCTTGATCAAAAATATCAGTCCAAAGCACCACGTGTCGTCGATCCGGGCCGTTTGACCAAAATACCCCTAATCCGACGGCCGACGTTCGTTCTAGCCCAATAATTGATGGGAAAAATGGTCATTAGGTCCAATAATACAGCTGATAATCCATATTTAATTACCCCAAAAATTTTCCCAAAATTCTGAACTGAAAACCGCCCAGGGGCAAAACCGTCATTTTTCCGGTCCCGAGGCGAAGTTCCATTTTTCGCCCGTATCAACCCTCTATGTGCGTGGCCACCATAATATGGCGTCGGAATCGCGAAATTCATCGCGCAAGCCCTCGAAAATCGACCGCAAAGTTTCGGGAATAAAATAATATTATTTTTTCAATTTCTGTCGAAATTCCAATTTTTGGCCATAACGACTCCTGGTATGCGTGGCCACCCAAAAATGGTGTCGGCCTCGAAAAATAACCTCATTTGGCCTCGAAAAGCAACGCTGGCGTTCCGAGGGGCAAAATAGTAATTTTTCACCCCCGGACCGAAATTCCAATTTTTACTCGTACTAACTCCAAACGTGTATGGCCAGCGTGATATGACGTCAGATTCCTAAAAATAGTCTCTTAAGCCTTTGAAAATCGGCATCGAAATCCGGGCCCAATTCCGTGAACAAAACTCGCTAAACTTTCAATTTCAGGGTCTCTCACTAACGGGCGGCTGTTTAGAGGTCACGCGTATCGACCTAGGGTTATCCGAGTCATAACGGTCCGATCATTGAGAGAATGAGAAATTATCACTAGTCCCAGAGGTCACGATCGTTCGAATTAAGTTCAGGACTGGTTGGCCACGTGCACTCTCGGTCGTGCAGAATCACCTGCGATCCGATTGTACATCGTTGGCCTTGGCCAAACCAAATCCATCACCCTTTCCTACGATCGGCCCACGTTGGCCCAAAATATTCCCTCAGCATCTCTCGTGATCGGTGTCCGTTTCACGATAGGGTCCCCGGTCCACGTACCATTTTCTAGTTAGCCATACCCTATTGGTTAGTATCCCGAGAGTGATCAACTCCGGGCGAGACTTACTAAAATGAAATGCGAATTAATATCAGTTTTATTGATCCCGGAATTACATCGTAATTCGGGCTGTTACACGGCGGCCTCGCCCGAAGGAAGGCGACGCCCGGCGAGGCCGGCCATGGCCGGTGGCTGGCCTCCGGCCACCGGCCATGGTAGAAGAAAAAGAAAAGAAAAAAGAAAAAAGAAAAGAAAAGAAAAGAAAAAAGAAAAGAAAGAAAAAAAATCAGAAAAAAATATTTAAAAAATTGAATTATACACATGAAAATGCCACGTGTCATTAAAATTTAAATATAAAAG